CGCGCACGTATTTATGCCTACACAGATTAAATGCTGAGAGGTTTTGTGCATTTTCGGAATTTATTTGCAAAGCTGGCCAACAACACCAACACGCCAGCATTCACACACGTACTCGCCTACAATTCAGTTCCTACAGCCGTTTACGCGCCCCAGCTTCACACTTGTGCCGTTGCGCACACATTCATACATACATATGTACATACATGCAAACACTACTGGTAGCTGCGCCATCATCATAAAGTGTGGCAACAATTTTGGATATCCGTGCATTGCGGTGGAATTTTACATTTCCAGTATTGCTGCTGCACTCTCACTGCATTCGGCGTTCTAGCTCGCTTTTCCCGTGCTGAGCTGCGAATATGTATAGCATTTTGCAGTTGCAACAGCGCAAAATTGTTGTTGTGGCTTGCTGGTTGTAAAGTTGCCATAAATCGGCGTTTCGCGCTTTTGCCACGTAGGATTTCGCTGACTGGACTGCGCTTTTACGTTCGTGCAATTTAACTGGTTTTCGATTCTTCTACAGACATATGTGTGTGTGAGTTTCATTTCCTGTGGTGTTTTCGAATGCTCAAAGCATGTTGGCTACATTTCACCTACCATCTATGGTAAGTTTGCTGTGGCGTGGTTTGTGACCCACAGTGTTTTGTTTGAAGGTAAAATTTTGTGCATTTTTCCGCAGTAAAATAAAACAAAGCACAAAGCGCGATTTAAGAGCAAGGCCCTTCTGTTTTCGGCAGGGGAACCAAATTGAAAGAAATACATACATATTCGTTTATTTATTAAAAAAAAAAGATTGGGTATCAATTGTTTACTAAAATACTTTAAATATACATAAATTATCAGCAGCCTTTATTAATTATACCAACTCACAAAGCCAGTTGATAAAGTTCATCGAAAGAAAAGCTTTAATTTATTGAGAATATATTAATGCCTTAAGATACCATTATTAATTATTAAATGCGATTGTGTAGGTCGTCTTCATATCCGATGCGGGCAACATCTAGACAATTTTCAAAATGCATTCAGAACAATTAGCTTAACTCCTTGCTACTCAAACCCTTACAAAACGAATTTACCTTCACAACAGGGATAGGTACCTATCTCAAGGTCTTCTATGTCAAAGTCAGTAACTATTTCAATAAGTGGAAAATCCTTTTATTACTGTAATACATAGACATCGTGTCCTTTTCTATGAACGCTGGTTGTCGGCAAACTTCTAGAAAAGCTAAAAGAAATTAATTTACAGGGCGATTTTGGTAAAGGTAGTTGCAAATCTTTTGTAAGACTATTGAAAGACAGTAGACATGATAGTTAACACGATTTTGTTAATTCTGGCACAAAATTCTTGCAAAAAAAGCTTCCTTGCCAACTTTCATGGTGAAAAGCTCTTTTGACAGAAAGCATTTGAGCAGGTTCTAGACCGGTGATAGGCACCGCTCTGCCCGCGGACAAAGCTCTTTTAAGCTTTCTATACATTTTGTATAGTCGCGTGCAAAGTAAAGGCTCTCTCTGCCCATCGCTGTTCTGGACCCGTGAGATGCCTGGCCTTCGCATGTACAAAAGCTTTCATTTTTTCATTTTCTGAATAGGGTTGCCACCTATTTAAAAA